AAAGATGGAGAGGCCTGTAATTTTCATCCTAGGTATAACTCAACTATGAGAGACAAAATGAGAAAAAAAAAATCCAGAAAATCGCATTGTCTGATGAAATTATGGTGGAAAATAAGTATTTGGTCACCTACAAACAAAAAAGATGTCTGGCTCTCACAGACCTGTAACTTCTTCTTTAAGAGCCTCCTCTGTCCTCCACTTGTTAACTGTATTAATGGCANAGCAAACTTCAGACGGGCCTGGACATGTACTGGCTTAAGCAGGGGGACACGTCTGGCACTGCAGGATTTGAGTCCCTGGCGGCGTAGTGTGTTACTGATGGTAGCCTTTGTTACTTTGGTCCCAGCTCTCTGCAGGTCATTGACTAGGTCCCCCCGTGTGGTTCTGGGATTTTTGCTCACCGTTCTTGTGATCATTTTGACCCCACGGGGTGAGATCTTGCGTGGAGCCCCAGATCGAGGGAGATTATCAGTGGTCTTGTATGTCTTCCATTTTCTAATAATTGCTCCCACAGTTGATTTCTTCACACCAAGCTGCTTACCTATTGTAGATTCAGTCTTCCCAGCCTGGTGCAGGTCTACAATTTTGTTTATGGTGTCCTTTGACAGCTCTTTGGTCTTGGCCATAGTGGAGTTTGGAGTGTGACTGTTTGAGGTTGTGGACAGGTGTCTTTTATACTGATAACGAGTTCAAACAGGTGCCATTAATACAGTTAACAAGTGGAGGACAGAGGAGGCTCTTAAAGAAGAAGTTACAGGTCTGTGAGAGCAAGAAATCTTGTTTGTTTGTAGGTGACCAAATACTTATTTTCCACCATAATTTGCAAATAAATTCTTTAAAAATCAGACAATGTGATTTTCTGGATTTTTTTTTTTTCTCATTTTGTCTCTCATGGTTGAGGTATAGGCCTACCTAGGATGAAAATGACAGGCCTCTCATCTTTTTAAGTTGGAGAACTTGCACAATTGGTGGCTGACTAAATACTTTTTTGCCCCACTGTAAGTAGAGAGACATAATGTAAGTGTAGGTACCAAAAATAAAAATGCACTTTAATATATTAAATATGCATCACTTTTGTTTTTAAAGCAGTATTATGTTCATTAAATTCCCACTTTAAGCTGCATTAACATTTTGTTGACCTTCTAGAGGTGTAAATTACTGACATCAACAGAACCCTGACATAAAATTACTGGATATGACTTGTTAGCAAAATTGTGCTTCCCATGAATAGTGTCCAGATGGTGAGTTACAACAGCAGGGCAAACTCCAGCTTGGCTGTGGGACTTCAGTGTTTTATGTTGCCATACAAAATAACTTTCAATGATGTATCAAGTAAACTAAAACATTCAGTGGTCCATGGCGCTAACATCCCACATACTGTACTGTCTTTGCTTGCCATCTTCACACTTTTCTTTATTTTGCCCAAAACCATAAAAACCCATAACAAGATGGGAATCAATCATTTAGAAACACATTTGAGTGCGGCAGCTGTTGAAAACCAGAGCAGTCTTGATCTATCTTATCAGTCAAGATGTTGAGATCACATATACAATTAGCATAATAAAGATTATGCACGTCTTTGATTTTTTTAAAACATCTGTTGCATCACACAGAAATTAAGTTGGGTGTTTTCTTTGGAGCAGAATAACACAATGTTTGATACAGTATGTAGACCAAAAGTGTTGACCCCAGCCTACAGATGTACTAGCACACTAAACACATAAATGAAAAGTTAGGCTAGCTCATTTAAATGCAATTTGAAAAAGCAGGCCAAGTTCAAGAAATAAATCACCTTGGATAGGTTTATTGAAATAAATAACTCGGGAGGATATATATCTCAGTTCTCTGCAATTAATCATAACAGAGAAAGGACACGGAAAAAAACAAAATGGTCTGCAACTGAAATCTAAATCTGCATAATACATTTGTAAACACTTATTTTGAAAGTCATTACTCATGATGCTCAAGGAGACAGAAATGGATAAAACATGAGTTCTTGGAAGGTGACCTGTCCAAGCTCACTGCCAAACCCTTAATAACTTTAGACCAATTTCTGAAACTAATAGCATTCCCCATATGTCTTAAAGTTATATTACAATTTCACCAGTCTACGTGCCTGCCTCAGATGTGTCATTGTCTGGATGTAGAGCTCACACAATGAACGGAGATAAAAAACTTCACACATAATTTCTACCTCATTAGCTCTGGACTAATCTATTAGCCGCAGAGCTGTATCAGCAGTCTCGTGTACCTGCCACAATCACTGAGAACTTCTGGATTTGCGTGCGTATGATTGCGGGGTTTCACATCAGTCACACAGGCACCTTATATCTGGGAAAATCCAAATTTGTTGCATATTGTGTCAGTTTCAATGTGTTTATGTCTGTGTGAGGGAAGAGAAAGGCAAACCGAGGCAGGACTGTATGTGTTTAAAGTCTGATGGCATAATATGCAAATGAATCAAACTTTTGGGAATTTGGGTCTCTATTCATGAACTTAATGATTGGCATATTTCTGCAGCCTTCCAGTGTTCACCATTTGCAATGACAATTAAATAATCAATTATAATTCCCTGCCTCAACTTCTAGCTTTTCCATTTTCTTATGAACAGAAGCAGGCAGTGACGTTATAATGAGTCCCACAGGTGGTTGTTCTAGTGGGTTCCAGGAAATTGAGTGGGTCCACAATAAATGTGCTTTGTTGACAAATTGTAGTGTTAAACTCGTAGTTCATATTATATTGTTTTATTCCTATACTGTATGTTGACAATGTATACGAAAACTGAACAATACAGAAAGTAAATGTGATATAATGAGTAAGTCAAATTAGTCCGAAATTATGTGAAAACTGTTATCACAAATATGAAACTGGACTAATACAGAGATAAACCCCTGTGGAATGTAACTATGGTGATGCAATTAAATAACGGTATATTTTGCTACAGCGGCATGATGTGATGATAGGGACTGAACCACCTCTCCCCCTTTACACCTCAGCCCAGCATAGCGGATGACAACTTTTCAAAATGCCACCCGCAAGCAGCATGTGAAAATGGCCAAGATGGTCTCTCAGTGTAATCCACATGTTTACATATCACGTGGTTGGGATGGAGCAGTGTAATGTGTGGCCGTAGTGAGAGTGGAGATGAGCGACAGAGAGAGCGTCACTGTGGATGCACTCAGAGCAGATCAGCTGCTGGCGATCGTTGCAGAGACAAAACAAGCCCTTAAGTGGTCTCACGTCATTGAATTTAGAGTGTCGCGCACACACACACACACACACACACACACACACACACACACACACACACACACACACACACACACACACACACACACACACACACACACACACACACTCATACACTCATACACCCAAAAATAAATCTGGCACCTTGTCTTTTTTAGTGACTCATTGATGGTGAATTTAATGCTTCAAAGACAGTATGCGTAGCTAATTCACAGAGCAGCTATAATTAATCATGTTTATCATGTTAAAACAATGCGACAGTGTGAATAATTTGATAGTAATGAACCGACAGTGAATCATCAACAGAATCTGCAGCTTTTTTGGCTTTACGCGGCTTTATCATCAATTTATACTCAATGTTTTGCAGTACTGTCACATCTTTGCTTCTCTGGTTCAAACTCAATGCTCTCATAGAGTTCTTCTCAGCATCAGTAGCTGCTGTTTTCAGCAAAAACATGGTACAATGCCTGCTCAGCAACAAACACAGTTAGCAACACAACCAGGAGAACATAGTCAAACATTTAGCAGCTGTTTCTTTTTTTGGTACACCCAAAGCAGATACAAAAGAGAGGGATGTTGGACTTAAATTCACCTGGTGGGAAGAACCATGACTTTAAAAAAAACAATGGTGTTCTGTAATTTTAGATGTGTAACTGCACAACCTTTTGCTAGCAAGTTTGCCACATCAATTTAAAAGGTGTTGATATGTCAATTGTATGGTAGTACTACTCCCAACTAGTGGCCATTGAAAAACTATTACTGAATTAATTTAGTAGACATCTATAAGCACTGCTTTGCCACCCATTATTGCCTTGTCTGAAATAACATTCAGTCAAGTTTTGTTTTGCACCCTGGTCATTTACTCATGAATAATTAGTTTTTCCTCTCAGTAGTTTTGTCATTTCTCTCCAGTGAGTGACTTCAGTCACTTTGGAGGGAGAGGCTTCTGGGAAAAGATGACAGAGAATAAAGAAGCCCTAGTTTAAGTAATGATCCTTTTCATTTGAACCCTTTTTGATTTAAATAAACATCTGCTTTGCCAGTGTCTGTTGCCAAGAGCAATAACACAACAGGGATTCAACGCTTAGTACAGCTAGTAAATAAAAGCCTTGGACCTCTAAGCATGCAGTGTTTAAGTAGGAGGAAGAAGTGATGTTTTTGTTATCTTCCATGCAGCTTTAACAGCGCATAAATGAAATAAACAGCACAAGAGATTGTTGTTTAGCCAAAGCCTTTATGCCAACCATTGCTAACGGTCAAAGAGCGCCACCTAGAGTTACTCAAACTTTACTGACAGAAAACTTAAGCAAAAACACTTTAGCTCACAGATATCATTGTTGAGTTGCCTAATTATATCTTGGAAATAGTTCTCCAGCATTGACTGCTTATGATACACATACACACAACTCTCTAACAGAGGCACAGTGCTGGGTGATTCACACCATATATTGCTCTCCACTCGTCTCTTTTCTTTTTTTGCCTCATAAAGATGAGGCATGTTCCCTTCAACCACTCTTTCACCTCTTTCACACCTCCTGTCTTGCCACTTTCTATTAGCATTCCCTGGTCAGGGGGCCGTATGAAAGTCAGGCACACACCTGCCACAGTCAACGTCCCGAGCCTGTCGCCTCACCACAGCTCAGCTCGTTGCGCTCTAGCAGGCTCGATACTTGTTTACTGGGCTAGCTTCCTTTTTTGGATTGATGGATTACTGATTGGCTGTCTAGTTCTCCGCCCAGTTTGCCAGCTGGTTATGTAAATCCATGCTGGCTGGCTGAATAAAATGCCTCCAGGGCGAATGTCTCCCCTCGGCTTCTTCCTTTATCATCCTTTCTGTCCTTCTTCCTTCTCTTCTTAGCTCCCTCCTGCCCTCCCCAGCCGAAACTAAACAGCAGCTGCACCAGAGGTAGGAGTGTCAGAAAGTGCCACAACTGTGTTCCTGTCTGTTTTTAGGCAAGTTCCTAGAATAGAACAGCGTTCACAGCGTGTAGAGTGGAAACTAAACCCCAGAGGCTAGCCAGTTCACTGACATCCTCTATTCAGGAGCAGTAGTACTTAAGCAAACCACCACAAACACACAAACACACACAAGCTCACAGAGTATTCAAACAAAAAGGAATGAAGATGTGCGTTTGCGTCCATAATTGAGGTACATTCACAGACTTAACATAAATATTCAAACAGACACTGTCACACACTTGTATGCATACAGCAACAGATCACCCCAGATGAGATTTCACTCTTATTCAATATTGAAGAAAACTACCTTTTTGAATGATTTATTGATAGCAGCTATTTTAAACTGCAAAAATACAAATTTTGTATTATTGAAAACTATAGGTTACTAACGTAACCCCAGTTCTCAGAGTAACATGAAGTGAGATGTCTCACTATGGGATGCGCCTCATCGCGGAGCAAACAGAAGCATCAATCTCATTACGCCAATCCAGATTGGCTGGTGATCTTGACGTCAGCGTAAGGGAATCTACCCCCTATAAGTAGCTTGCGCTACGCCGCATGCATCATTCAAAATAAGCACCTCTTCTCGCTTCACCATAGCAAGGAGGGCCGTCTGGTGAGACATCTCACTTCATGTTACTCTGAGAACTGGGGTTACGTAAGTAACCTATAGTTCTCATTCGTAACACTCCGTTCGATGTCTCACTATGGGATATTGTAGCTCCCGTATTGCCAGACGAGCTTATCTCGAAAATCACCAAACCCAACCAGAATTTAACAGTTAGAGCTCTAACTCAGCAGGGGGCCCAGCACTGCATGGGCCACACTGGGAGCAGAGACGTCTAATCTGTAAAAGCGGACAAAAGTGAGCGGCGAGGACCAGCTCGCTGCTGCACAAATGTCTTGGATGGAAACACCCTTTGAAGAAAGCCCCAGTGATGGGTAGCCCTGACCACGAGTCCGAATGGAGCCAGCAAAACCCGGAAGGGTGCCCCTGCAGACCCCCTGACTCGTGTAAAACCAAAGCAATTGCCTCCACAATCCAGTTGAGAGAGGCCGTTGCCCTTAGTAAACAGGCCCTTGCCCCTTCTGAGGGGTTTAGCCCCAAGGACACAAAGAGGTTGGGTCCATTATGGGACGAAACTCTTTTTGATCTGTCCAGTATAAGTGCGAAAGCACGGACTGGACATAGCAATTCGGGCGCCCTGTTCCCCGGGAGGGACAACAGCGGCGGAGGAAATGCTCCATGTCAATGGGGTAACAGTGAAACCACCACCTTAGGTATAAAGGCCAGGGTTGGCTTTTCCAGCAACACTCTCCGTTAACCTTCGGGCGAACTGAGTGCATGAAAGGATGTACAGTTAGGCATGAATGTCCACATGACCTCGCCCTTTGGCGGATGGCCAGGGCCAGTTAACAGCACTGTCTTGAGTGACCAGGTTGCTTCCATGTTCAGCTCCTCCAGGGGTTCAAATGGGGCTTCGAAGTGAGCCCATCTAAAAACCACTGTCAAGCCCATAGGCACCAGTGACCTGGAAACAGGGAAGGAGCCGCGAGCTCCCTTCATAAAACGCAGACCAGAGGTATGTTTGGCCGGCCGTCTTAAACCGCTCAAAAACCCACATGGCATGCAGCAATAGCAGCCAGGTAAAGACTTGAATCGTGGAGAAGGCTCTGTGTTTCAATTAGTCCGTAAGAATGAAAAATCACCCCCACAGGGCCATTGAAAAGGAGGTTGGCCCTTTTTGAAGGCCACCAGTTCCTCAAACACCCTCCACTTACGTCCATAAAGAGACCTAGGGAGGGAAGCCTCCCGCACTCTGAAATAGTGTTTTCACCTTTCCTGCGGGAAGAGACCCCACTGCATTCAGATTATACCACTCCCGGGCCAGGCCCATAGGGCCATGCCGCTCCGGGTGTGGTTGGAAAAGATCGTCCCCCCCCCTGAGATAGTATGTCTCTGCCAATATGGGGGAGCTGCCCACGGCTGAACCCACAGCAGCTGATAATCTTCAGCCACCAGTACATTGCAGGCCAGTGCGGAGCTATCAGGATCTTGTGTGTGCGTTCCTCACTCTGGCAGAGTTGGGGGTATCCAGCGCCAGGGGGTGGATAACCGCGTTACCAGGAGGGACCGGAGGCCAAATGTTGCGCGTCCACGCCTAATGGTCGTTTTGATCACGCATTGAAAAGAAAAAGCTGACAGTGAGCCATTTTCTCTTTTGATGCGAACAGATCTAACCCGCGGCCTCGGCGTAACGCACCCACACCCTGGCTCAACAACCATTGGAGTGAGTCCATCCTGCATATAGTGGTGACCTCTTGGACAGCAGGTCTTGCCGCCCGAGGTTCATCACACCCTATGTGCGTCGCTCTCAGAAGAGAGGACGGCCGCAGCTCCACAAGATAGTTTGCCGTGGCCAATAGCATTGTGTAACTGGGAGGGAGAGCGGCAACCCCTTGTCGGTTTATATACGATATTTGTGGTCCGTATTTCCGCCCACGAGACTGGTGGGTCCTCTGAGAAAAGGCAGAAATGGCGTTTTAGTGGTGAGGAACACCGCTAAAAAAGCGCCAGGTAATTATGTGCGACCCGCTGGAGGTCTCTGCGCAGAGGACCCCTCACGGGACGACCTTCATAATACTCCCCCAGCTGTCCCAGAACATGCGTCCTGTGGTGGGAACACCCCTTCCCGTGAAAGGACAGCAACCAATAGGGCACGCCCCGTACCAGAAAAGTCCCGGGTGCAGCCAGTGGCGCAGTGCATCAATGCATTTCCCCACATTAACCGATCAATCTCCTCGCGCCATTGGACGCGCGGGGTTTAGTTAGAGCGGCTACCAGCGCTTGAAAGCTCCCTCCATGTGTAACCGTCCCAGTCGTACGACCCAGGATGCTGACGCCATGAGCCCCAAGTAACCGCAGGCATGGATCTGAAAAAAGAACATGTTTGCCCGCAGCTGGGAAAATGAGCGAGGCAAGCTCTTGAAAGCCTTCACTCTTTCCGCGACAAGCGGGCTGTAAAGGGCCACCGAGTTTCAGGTGTAACCCAGGACAGGTAAGCTTGCCGGCTCTTTCCCTGTGTTTATTATGAAAACCCAGGTTTGAGCAGGTCTTTTACAAGACAATTTGTCGCCGTAATAGCCTCCTGTTTCCGACGGTGCGAGAAAGCAGCCTATTCGTCTAGGTAGGGTTTGCCAGGCCGAATACCCCTGGTTGTCCCTTAACGGGGTATCGCGGGCCTTCCCCGTACACCGTACAACACTCTGGACTGAGAGACGACCGAAGGGAAAGTACTCTTATTCGTAACAGATCCCCTGAAATGCGAACCTCAGATATTTTCCTGTGTGGGTAATATACTGGGATAGGAAAATACGCATCTTTCAAGGTCGACTGATGTAAAACCAGTCGTTTTGTGCGCACGAGACGCAGCCAGAGGATGTTGTGAGTGGTAGCATTCTGAAATTTGTATCATTTTAGATATTTGTTCAAGCCCTCAAATCTAGTAAATTGGGCCGAATTCGCGTTTCCCTCCCGTTTTGGGGGAACGAGGAAATACTTGGAATAAAAGCCGCTCTGAACTCCGTCGGCGGGTATTAATAGATTAGCCTTCTTTTCTGAAAGTGGAGAGAATCTCTCTCTCCAGAATATGGCTGCCTTCCTTGGGCTTGTGAACAGAACGCCCGAGAAGCGAGGGGGTGACAGCGAATTGGAGTCTGTAGCCCCGTGTTACTGTCTTGAAAACCCAAGCAGACCGTTGTAGCATCTCCTCACTGGTTTGCCTCCTTATAAGTAAACCAGCGGTTAAGCCCCCAAATCAAGGGAAATTGTGCAACTTTTTGAAAGAACATGAAACTTCTTACCATAGTAGTTTATATCATGAGGTTTATTTTTAGATGTGGAGGGGAAGTCAGAATTTGACCTCTGAGGCCCGGAGAGTCAATCGGGGATGGCCCACCAATATAATTTCAAAACTGACTCACCTTGGAACCGAACACTGTAGAAAAACACTTAAGGGTGTCTTTCCCACAAATGTAAGGTGCCCATTCTGTTGGTGACACCATTTGAGACCCAATATAATTTCAAGAAAATGCATTTATGTTAAGTCAAGGGTTAAATATATCAAAAATATTATTTTTATGTACCCAAGACAATTCCCTCAAGTTGATTTCTTTGTAGTATCAGAATATTAGTTTATATTATTATTTCATGGGTGGTGTGGATTATGTTTATGCATTCTCAAGCACAGATTTATCCAGCAGTTGACCCCTAGAACCATTTCCACAGAACTACCTGCAAATACCACCCGCGGACCACTGGTTGAAAACCCCCTGCCTCTAAAGCTTCAAGTCCTACTATCGAGGGGTTGTTTGCTAGCAACATGGTGAGAAGTATTCAAGAAATGCATTCCTGACACTTTCCGGACATTTAACAGGTAAAAAGATGACCTATGTAACAAACATATTATAAACATATAATATTAATAATCCTTTGAATGCCGATGTATTTGAATTTGACTGTAGCCAGGAAGGAGTTTTCCTTGCTAGCTAGCAAGGGAATTCACTAGCTAGCCTAGCTAGCTAGCAGCGTGCAAAATTAATTATCCTAAGCTTAAAGTAGAAGACGCTGGAAACATTTCTGTTTGAGCTGAAGTAGTTTAATGATTGAAACAGGTATTTTTAGAGATGTCAAACTTGGTTATATCCCAAATTTGGGGTAACGATTTTTACCTTGTCCATAACAGTAACAAAACACCAGTCACGGACTGTCACGAACATGTCATAACATTATGTCAATGTCAATATATATATGCACATATATGTCATATCATGTCATTAATTCATTGGTTTAACCTAACCCCTAAAAAACCGATGACAAACAAGACAACAGTGTTTAATAAAGTTAAATTGTTATCTTTTCAGATTCCCGAACGTCTTGCCTGGAATTAACCCTCACCCATGGTCAAAGCGTCCAACAGCGTTGAATGGTCCCACCCAGCCCCTCGTTATCCAAGCATCCAAGCCACCCCCCAGACTAACTGGGACAAGTTTGCTCTGTCAAAGTTCCAAAACAATGAACCCTTACATGGTCTCTCAGAAACAAATATAAACATCTGTGGTAGGGCTATGTACCCTCACAGAATACCTTCTCCGGTTCCAGACCCTTCAGCATATGCCAATGGCCTCCCAACGGAGCGGATTAAGATGATGGGATGCATAGAATCACTTTGGAAGAGACACAAGGGCAGAGGAGCAAGGAATTCGGTTAAAATTCAACAAAAAAAGCATATGATGAGCTAAGTCGGGGATAATTAACTACCACACACAACAAAGTACCTCCATCTGTACACACGCGATCTGCCCACAGCCCATTCCACAGTCCCACAAACCTTACTTGCTTCTTTTGCATATGAGCCTGCTGCAGGTTCTCAGGTTTGCAAATGCATCAACCTACAACATTGACAAGAATGTGAGGAAGTGTGCCCTTGCTGAGGACCACGCTGTTGCCAAGCTCGCAG